AAGTGATCAGTAGCATTTTCGGCTACTCTGTCTGGCTGCAACAGGGATTCCCTCCCATTTCATGAAAGTGCAGTGTGTGCATGACTTTTCCGGCATACCTTGTTTCCATGAGGTAGATATGTGCCGTCGGCATAGAAATTTGGAACTAGATAAGACCATCAAGGTCATGACAGCTAATTTCCCACCCAGTAAAGGAAACTTCTTTATAATATTAATACAATGAGCATTAGGAAAATTTTTCATGTGCCACCAAGGGACATAGAGATGAACAAGGCACAGTTTCTATTCTTGAGAAACACACATTTTTACTGGGAGGAGGCAAACATGTATGTTTACTGTGTGATAAGTATTATGATAGAGGCATGTGCTAAATGTTGTAAAAGCACAGTGGAGGTAGAACTAACCTGACCAGGGGAAGTTAGAAAAGATGGCACACATGAAAGACCTGACATTTGAGCTAGGTCTTAAAGATGAGCATGAAGTTTTCCAGACCCTGTACTGGAGAGGAACCCTTTATCTGCTAATAATCTAGCTCCTGTGTGAATACTTACAGCAACCACAAGCTCACTACCGTATGAAGCCCATTCCATTTAAAAAAGCTACCATTGTTGTACATTCATTTCTTATATTGAGCCAAATAATGCCTTTTATTATTTCTACGCATTGTTTCCAGTTCTCTCCTCTGTATCTAATGAGCCAAGACTTGTCTTTCTACTGTATGTCATTCAGTATTTGAAAATAGATATGTTCTCTCTTAAGCGGTCTCTTTTCTATGTTGAAAAAGGGAAAATGGGTAGAGTCAGTTTCCCTGGGAAATAGACTCTGAGCCTGAAGTCAGTGTGCAGGAGGCTTATTAGGATGTGCTGTTGAGATCAGCACCATGAAAGGGGAGAGAAGATTAGGCAGGACTGGGCAGAAGAAGCGGTGCAGGTGTGATACAGTTTTAATGGAAGCTGCAGCCAACTCTCTGGGGAATTATCGAGCTAGGTTGACCCTTCTGAATTATTCAGAGTCAGGGCAAGAAGATGGAGTCTTTATACCCTTGACAATCAGCCATTCAGCACCATTTGCCCAGGAAGGGGCATGACTCTGGGCGAGCAGCCCTCTTCAGGTGAGGCAGTCCCCAAAGGGGGCTGAGCAGAAGCTTGTTGCCCGGGGAACTGTCAGCAGCTGGAACATTTAATATTTTATTTCTGAAGTGGATCAGTAGGGGATGTAGATGACGCAGATGAGGAATCTCATTTACTGCTAATTCTTTAGGCAATTATTTTCTGAGACAGATAATAAGATGAAAAAGTACTTTTTGTTTCTTCTTATTAGCAAATAAACACCATGAACGTCAAAGTGATGGGGTCCAACATAAACATTCCAGACTGCTGGAGTCTAATTTACAATTCTGCCTTCCTTGTGCTAACTGCTCATCTCAGCTAAGATGGCCCTTTATACAGGGATGCATTAAAGCTGTTTGCAAGGCAAGTTGCAGAAGTACATCCATGCAATAAATTTGGGGATCTTTACTAGCGGAGGAGACTGCTCCAAGGACCCCTGTAGGTCCTAACATTTTGTAATGGCATTAGGAGATAGAAACATAAGTGAGGAAGCATAGTGAGTTACAAACAGAATTATATCTCTGTCCTTCATCCTCCGTCACTTGTGGTAATCACAGTGTATGCTGGGTGCCTGCAAAGATAGATGCGTGGCCACCAGTTCTTTCCACTCCATGCACACGTGAAGATTGCCCTTTGATTTGTGGCTATGGCCATAATTTGCAAAGCCTGTCACTGTTTGCAACTTATAGTTAGCACAAAGCTTTGTTGAAAAAGAGCTGTTCCATTCCTGATCACTGTACACCAGAGTGATGTGTCAACTAAATTAATAATACTGGGCTACTCATTATACCGGGAAACATTGGCCCAAGTTGTAACTCTGTTTTTTGAATTCTGTTTGGCTTCGTTAACTTCTTTTTGGTGCCAGATAAGATGGTCACATAAGGCATTCTTATTTAATGAAGGATTGCCAAAATAAAATGGCTTAGCTGGGCATTGATGGGGCCAGAGGAGTCAGAAGATGGGTGATATTATGGAGGTCAAGAAAATTAGAGGTGAGATAAGGATGTGGTAGAGGTATGATGGAGCCATGTTAATTTTTCTCTGACTCTCACCATTCATGGGCCCCCTTCGTATTATTGCTGGCAGTATCTTTACAAGCCATTTATACCTGTGAGAGAGTATTAAGAGGGAGACTAAAAGAGAGGAGGGTCAGGTGGGTATTTAATAGACTATTTTCCTTTAAATTCAATCTCATTTGCATGAGCTCATTTACCATGGACCCCCATGGGTTTTCTCTCAGGGCTCTCTTGTGAGCTTGCTACGGATTTGAGCCAGCTGTGGTTTCACCGTACATGGAACTTTGCATGTATTCAAGAACCTTCTTGTGGCCAGATCTGGTCTGTTCATTTATCACAGAATAAGTAGACTGACTTTCTTTGCAATCAGGATCCCTTTCATCCCAAGCCTGTGCATCTTAAGGTGTATTTAAAAGCATTTTCACTTTGCTATAACCACTGGGCTTGTGGAAGCTCATGTGATAATATTTCTCATTTGGGAATCCTGAAAATTCCCTTTAGCTGGAAGTATAACAAGAAAAACAAACGGATGTTTCTTAAAAATGCTAGCTGTTCTAGGTGAGCTCTTCTGCCACTGGTCTTCCGTTCCTGTTGTGGTTCTCTGTAGGCACCTGACAAGTCTTGATGTAATTAAGTTCTGTTGTCCCGGATTCACACTTGTCTTAGTCCGTTCAGGCTGCTATAACAAAATAACATAAGCTGGGGAGCTTATAAACAACAGAAATTTATTTCTCACAGTTCTGGAGGCTGGGAAGTCTAAGTTAATCAAGGTGCCAGCAGATCTGGTGTCTGAGGAGGGCCCACTATCTGCTTTATAGATGACACCTTCTTCCTGAGTCCTCACCTGGGAGAAGGGGCAAGGCAGCTCTCGGGGCCTCTTTTTAAAGGGCACTAATCCCATTCATGAGGGCTCCACCCTCATGATCTAATCACCCCACAAAGGCCCCATCTCCTGATACCATTATCACCTTTGGCATTAGGATTTTGACATATGAATTTGGGGGAACATAAACATTCAGGCCACAGTGCTACTGTGTCTTATAACCTAAGGAGAAGGTCAACTTTGCCTGAAGAGTGGTACTTGTGTTATGGGAGAAGCCTAGGAACAGGGGCTGGCCAGAGTTTGGAATAGACACACCTGATATAATTATTTTATTCTGAATTAATTCCCTTTCTCTTACCCACCCATTCTTGGTGCCCAACCCTCCCTACTTCTCTGAATTCCATGGTCCTAAGATGCTTCTCTTCAATGGTATGTTTGGGGCCAGAGAAGGGAGCCACGATAAGCACCATTCCACCCTAGGCCGGAAGAATCCCTCCCAAATGACCAAGCACTGACTGTTTGGTTCTGTATAGCCTGTGGGAAGTGGGGAATTGAAGCCATGAGAAGCCAACGAAGCTCTGGCAGAGCCGAGGGGCTGGCAGCTCTCATTGCCGAGTCAGGATTTTTGGACACCATCTGGATTATTTCCCAACCTGTATTTTTTTCAATAGTGGGTGCCCAAGAAATACTCAGCAATTTCTCAGCTGTACAACAGTGTGTTCCTGAGCTGAGAAATCGCTATATAATTTTGTTAAAAAGCCCAGGTCTCTTGTAACTGTACTTTAAAGCTCTTGTTGGGGGATAAGAGAGATCTGACCCCTGGAGAAAGATGCAATTTTGTTAGCCTGGATTGTTATAAAATGGAGATGAACCATGGGATAGATGATTGGGGGCACAGACTAAGAAAAGAGGTACCATTACCCAGGAGGAAATCAGGGGAAAATGGACTGAGAGAGAAGCACAAGGCTGAGAGGGTGTTCATTTTGTGGTTTCAGAGTCTTCTAGCTATAGGGTAGAGATGAAATGCAGGGCTTGACATCTCAGAACAGCAGGTGAAATATAGCTTAAAATGGGAGAAATTTAAAATGGCTGCTTCCTGGAAAGGAAGGAGAAAACAGAAGACGTTCAGAATTGACAGAGGGATGTGTTTAACAGACAGGTCAGGCCCTGTGCTATGCCGTAGGTATGAGAAAGAGCCATTTTCTATATGTTGCTCTAAAATAAAGCCTAATCATATATGAGCTTAGTTGAATACGAGCCATTTTAACTTGGAACTTAGAGATGCTATTTGAGCCTTCCTCCAACCTGCATATCCTAACATCAGAGCAGAAGCTGGAGAGCAAACTAAATGTGCTATTAATTTAACAGTTATTTGTTTACAGAATATAACCTGATCCAGTCGGTATGTATTGCACTACCTGGGCATTTCCCGGAGATCCGTACATCAGCACCATCCACCTTCTGGGCCAGTGAGCCTATACTACCTCCACAGATGGGTTTAAGTGTAGATTGGGAACATTTTGGATTATTCACTGTATGACTGAGTGATACACATCCACAATCAAGAAATCCAAAATCCTCAAAAAATGGGAAGTGTGTGTGTCTGTATGAGCATGTATGTATGTGTTTGTGTAACTCGTTGACAGCAAAACCTGATATGAACTGACATGAGTCCATTGAAAGTCTTTATTCTACTTTACGTGACTTTCCATATGTTTTGCTGCAGAAATATTAACACATTTGATTTGGGGAGCTGCCTTAGGCACTGGCTGTGGCACCAAGGATTTCATATGAGGGCAGTATAGACCTATGTTGGTTTTCTGCAAAGTCTGGGAGATAGTTTTACAAAGAAAGGTATTACAAATGTCTGCAATTAAAATATTTAAAAGTATTTTATTGAAAGTAAAAAATATTAAAGGTATTATATGAAAAAATAATTAACACAAAGCTTTGTATCCAATTGGTTCAAAATCCCCATTACCATCTTTGGTTTGATTTTCTTTCTCTCTCTCTCTCTCTCTTTTTTTTTTTTTTACACTTTTGCTATTCTAGGATGACTCCTCCATGTTCTTCCAGTTTGGTCCATCAATTGAACAGCAAGCTTCCGTAATGCTCAACATCATGGAAGAGTATGACTGGTACATCTTTTCTATTGTCACCACCTACTTCCCTGGCTACCAGGACTTTGTGAACAAGATCCGCAGCACCATCGAGAATAGCTTCGTGGGCTGGGAGCTGGAGGAAGTCCTCCTACTGGACATGTCCCTGGATGATGGAGATTCTAAGATCCAGAATCAGCTCAAGAAACTCCAAAGCCCCATCATTCTTCTTTACTGTACTAAGGAAGAGGCCACCTACATCTTCGAAGTGGCTAACTCAGTAGGGCTGACTGGCTATGGCTACACGTGGATTGTGCCCAGTCTGGTGGCAGGGGATACAGACACAGTGCCCTCGGAGTTCCCCACTGGGCTCATCTCTGTGTCCTACGACGAGTGGGACTATGGCCTCCCTGCCAGAGTGAGAGATGGAATCGCCATAATCACCACCGCTGCTTCCGACATGCTGTCCGAACACAGCTTCATCCCTGAGCCCAAAAGCAGTTGTTACAACACCCACGAGAAGAGAATCTACCAGTCCAATATGCTGAATAGGTGAGTGTGGAGCAAAGGGCACGCTGATGGTGGGGATCAGAGGAGAGAGCTCCGGAGGTTGAGAAACTGTGGGCAAAGCAGTCCAGGATGGCAGCAGGTTGAGGCTGGCCTCAGGGGTGGCCATCAGTCATGATGGGGGGAGTGTTTTGTATCCAAGCCTTGCTGCACTGTGTGCTCTTTCTAAGAAATACAGAATGATTCTTACTCATCGAGCACCTACTATGTGCTAGATGTTACTCTACGTGTTTGACTTAATTTCATCCTCAAAACAACTCTATTCGGCAGGCTTTGAAAATTGTTTCTGTTTTACAATGCAAGAGAACAGGCTTGGGGATGTAAATCAGCCTTAGTCATGCTACAAGTGAGTGGTCAGCTTGGAACTGAATCCAGGCCTGTGTGATCCTGAGGCGATCACTTAATCACTAGGAAAGAAGCGGTGGACTTAGAAATAAGGGTGGACCAGTCCACTTTCCTTTGGAACGTTGCTGTCTGCAGAGGACAGCAACATGGATAGTTGGATGGTAGGATAGAAGGTTACAGGGATCTGCAGGCATATGAAGAATATTTTCCCTTAAAGGAATAGGTTTGGTTTTTATCTCCTTTGCTTTCCCTCTCCCTGCCTTCAAGAGTGAGAAGGCTACCACAGAGGAAGCGTTTATGGTTCTTAGTCAGGTTTGTTTAGCAAGATCTCGCCTTACGTAACCCAGCCATGACGCCAGTGCAGCCTCCTAAGGGTATTCAATGACCTTAGGGTAGAAGATTCTACACTGTATTTTTGTGGTTTCATTATTTGTATAAAACTGCTATGTGCACACATTGTAAAAATTCAAACAAAATAGAGGAACACAAAAGAGAAGATAAAAAATGTCCTTAAATTCAATTAACCAGACATAATCATTGTTGAAATAATTAGTAAACATCCTTCCCGACATATGTGCGTGTGTATACCTATATGGGTATAAATCTACAATTTTACACTATGAATATATGACTATACTTGCTGTTTGATAACCTGACTTTCTTTCACTCAACAATGTTTTGGCCATTCATTTTACATTTATTTTGAATCCTATCAGACATGCAGAAATGTATTCAGAAAAACTTAATACATACTTATGTACCCACCATCCAGCTTAAGAAATAAAATATTAGAAAGTGTACTCTGGGAATGTTAAAATACATTTAGTGAAGGTTGATAGTGAGTCACTTCTGGAAGGCAGCTTGACTGCAGCCTCTAATCTCCTGATTCAGGGTTGAAACTCTAAACAGCTTTAAAGTAGCTGTATTTGTGAGCCAGTCCTAATAGTCTCCCACCTTGAACTTTCTGCCCTTTCTCTCATCCCTAGATATTACCCCTCTTGGGCACAGATGGTCTTGGTTTTCCTTCTGCCTCTCTGGCGGCTCCATCTTGGGCTCCTTAGCAGACTCCTGTTTCTTTGTGCATCCCTTAAATGTTGGTGCTTCTCAGGGTTCTGTCCCAGACCCTCTTCTTTTCTCCTCCATTGCCAAGGATACAATTAATGTCTGCACAATCCCCAAATTGACATCTCTGGCCAGAACCTCTTCCTAGAGCCCCAGGTTTGTACATTTAACTGTGCCCAGATGTGTTCCTTTGGATCCTGTGGGCCTTCAGAAATCACCATATCCAAAGCTGAACTCGCATCTTCTCTCCCATCACCCTCCCACCCTTTCCCAGCCAGATCTGCACTGCCCGCAAGGGATACGTCCTATTACCAAGGTGCAGAAAACAAAGATTTCCAAGATGCCCTTGATTCCACATCCCCGACACCTCATGCCAATCCAACCATTTTCCCTGGGTTCAGTCCCCCATTCCTCTGGAATGCTGTGCTTATTTTCATCCCCCCTCCCCCCGTCCCAGGCCACCTCTTACCTGCATTATTGCAGGCCCCTTACATGATCTTCCTGCTTTCAGTTCTGCTTCTTTTCAATCTACATTGCAGCCGGAGTGATCTAAAGTGAAAATGTGATTTCATCACTCTCCTGCTTAATACCTTTCAGTGGCTTTTCATTGCTCCTATAATAAGGGCCAATTTCCTTAATGTAGTTTATAGAGCCTTCCACAGCATGGGCCCTGCCTGTCTTTCCAAAACTGTCTCATGCCATATTCTCTGCCTTGATCAGTGCCTTCCTGCAACACCGAGCTTCCTTCGGTTCTTGGACGACGCCATGCTCTCTCTCACTTCTAGCTCTTTCCTCTCTCTGTCTAGAGCACACCGGGCTGCGTGCCGCTCCCTTCCAGACCCGTGTGCTCTGGCTCCTTTACCTGCCCCGTGCTCTTCCTTCTTCAGGTTTCAGTCCTGGCCCCGCTTCCCCCGGGAAGTCACCCTGAGCCTCGGTCTGACATCCCCACCTTACATGACTTCACGGCACCTTATACTTTTCCAATAAATCCATTATTTAAACCACAGCAATGTCATGCTTTGCTATCTCCTTCCCTGTGCGTTCCATGACAGCAGTGACCGTCCTACCTCCCTCATTTCTCCGTCCCCATTTCTAGCACTATGTGTGGCCTAGGAAGTGCCGGACGGTGTCATCCAGGGCTCCCCACACAGCTGTGCCTCTTTGCAGGATAATAAAGATCCTCCTTAAACACTTACTGTTGATTCAGTTCTGTAGATTTGTTTGTGCTCCCGCTGTCTTTAGTGTTAAATTCAAATCCGACTCAGATAAGTTTTCGACATGTTTGTTCATTAAAACCAAAGCGAACAATGAAGGATTATTGAGTCTAAAACATCTGCCAAACAGCACAAAGAAATCAAGTGAATGCTACCTTGAAGTCCGTCAATATGGTCCAGGAATGCCTGCTTTTATCTTAAAACTTCCTCTGGGTAAACAGTGGTGTGCAGATGTTACCATTTCCTTCCTGGCTTATTTTACCTTGCAGTGTAAATGTTAGCTCGGAAGCCCGGACTCCAACCAGGCAGCTCGGGGACGGCCACGCTTGTTGCCATCTCTCCGAGACCTGAGAGGCCCTCGTGGGGTCGCTCAGGAAGGTGGCCCTCCTCCAGCTTCTAGAGGTTATTGTCGAGATAGCCGCAGAGGCCACCTCCATCTTCTCCGGTGTGGCAGCCCTCAAGGGAACCAGGCTCACATGGCACAGGTTTCTCATCAAGTCTTCAGGCCCCAGAGTGAAGCAGGGAGAGAGAGTCCTGCCTCACCGGATTACCCAAGTATTTGCTGCTTGGGAAGTGTCTTCAGACCTACCTACCTACTTCTGCACTAAGAGATTTCCTCTGTGGACGTTCTCTCCTGCCTCAGTTACCTGACTCTTCTAGGGTTCTGCATCCACCTGCCACTGGGCATCTTCTCTTGGGTGTCCCTCCCATCCACACACCTGCATCCCTCACTCACCCCTAGTGTCTTCTCCTCCTTCTCCTCAGTGCAGCTTCTTATGGTTCTTGACTCCAGTCTCTGCCTCTCTTGAGAAGAATATCTTAACATATTTTTTTTTTATCAGGACCCAGAAAGGATCGGGGCTCATGGAAATGATAAAGAGTCATCCTCAAGTCTGAAGCATCGTCACCAGGCGCAGCACTTGGGAAACATCAGTGGAATTCAATTAGGCACACTCAGTCCAAGCTCCTCTGGACTCTCCCCTTCCCCCCACCCAAAGCTCTGTTCTCACTAGGGTCACTCTTTTAAATAAGGAACCAAGCAGCCACACCATTTAGCCACAGCAGGAAATCTTTGCAAATACAATTGCTGCAAATGGCCCGTTGTTTTATGGCTTTTTCTTTGGCCACTGCTCACTCTCAGCAAGAGCATCAGGGAGGAGGAAGGCTCCTGGGGAGATTTGTGGGTGAGCCCCAGCCCCAGGAGGACACCGGGGATGCAGAGTTAGGAAAGTGGCTTCTCTGCTCACCTTCTGAACACTCAGCAGGTAGCATTTACAGGCTCTTGCAGGAGGAGGCAAAGCTCTCCTTTCTCACTGTCCAGATTGCCACTGTCTCTCCATGTCGGGGAAGTTCCTAAGTCTCGATTTAGGGAACAGAGACAAAGGATTATATGATAACCCTGAATCCCCAAAACCCGTACATGTTTGAAGTGATTCACTTGCTGTTGTCAAAGGAAGAATTTTTAGAATGACATATAATCCTTAAAATGCACTATTTCCATTCACTATGAAATAAACATTATTTATCAGGTATTAATCCAAATTCCTTTCTGATGACTTCTTAATTCCTTGAAGCCTGGCCTGCTATAGATCTGATGATTACTCCTAGGCTCTGGGTTTCCTAGAGAGGCATTTTTACTAGGGTTGCAAGAAGATGTATAAGCCCAGTTAAATTTGAATTTCAGATAAACGATGAATATTTTTGTAGTGTCAGTCCATCCTAAATATTGCATGGGGCATACTTACACCAAAAGAATATTAGTTATTTATCTTAAATTCAAATTTAACAGGGCTCCTGTATTTTTCATTGCTAAATCTGGCAACCTTACTTGGTGCCCTGATAAAAGTTAGCTTTCTCTTGAAACTTTGTGGTATTCATTTATGCCTTATTAGTAAACATAGTGCAATGCCCTGTCTGTGCCATAGTCCACGACATACTGAGAGAGTTTGATTCCAGTTAGAAACTTTATTCAATTGACAGGGCTGGAGAATTTCTTATGCCATATTTTCGCTAAGTGAAGGATTTTCTTAGTTCTGGAGAAAAACTCTGGAAACCTTTGATACAAGATTATCTGAAAATATTGAGGAAGTGTTTAGGTCTGTCGTCCGAACTAATCTTTATCCCCCCCTGAGCGAGGGAAGAATCGTTAGCTATTAGTTGCACATGTCTACATTTTTCATTCCTCACTCCCCCAAGGAACAGTTAATGGTTTTTTTTCTCCTCAACATGCTCTCTAAACTCTTTTTTTAAATTTTTATTATATTATTTTATTTTATTTTATATTTTTATTTCGGCATATTATGGGGGTACAGATTTTAAGGTTTCAATAAATGCCCATTTCCCCCTCCCCCCACAAGTCTGAGT